TATATTTTCAATTGAACTTGGACCAATGGAATGCAAAAGGATGCACACAAAAAATCTGATAGGCAGTACACACATTATATTTTAAATACTGTTTTAATAACAAAGACTATTTAAAATGATGTTATACGCATCTAAGTATTCTGTGAGTCTTAGACACCCACATAATATGTCTTGCAATCCTGCCGACCAAAGTAAAGTGTACAGAACTATGCAACATTGCTTGGAAGACCGAGCTCTCACAGAATTTTGAGCTGATTTTGGATTGAATTAACAAAAGTAAACTGCAAAAAATTATTTGATCATATTAATTTCTCTTATCATCCTTAAGATAAATTTTCCTCAAATGTGTCTTTCTTGATATTTCCATTATAGTGTGATTATTACCTACGTGATAACTTAAGTCACAGAAAACAGATCTATGCTCTAACCTCTTGGTGTCTTCTTCCTAGTCATTCTCTTCAAAATCAGTTGTCTCCCACTGATATTAATACCAGGAACCAAATATTGGTAGGAAAACAAAGCCATGTTTCTTCCTTATCAGATAGGTGGAAAGGAAATGGGAACAAGTCTCCCAGGGATTTTGTACAATACCAAGAATTGACCATTTCTAGTCAAAAAATAAAAGTCCATTTGTTTAGAGGGGGTTTTTTTGTGTGAAAGGGATTATATTAGCATGCATCTTGATAAGATCTGGTCCCTTGAAAGAAGAAACATTCATTAAATGAACATTCTTTAGTATCAAATTCTGCTCATTTCTAATTTAATAATAAGCACTTATTGTGTACTTTCTTGGCAGAATCTATTTGTGAAATAAGAGATGTGTTTCTTTGGATAAATCTTCTCTTAATAGCCAGACATGAGAAGGAGAATCAAACTGGAAGCTCTCTTTGTAAGATAGATGAGTTACAATTTCTAAGGCCATTATATCATTATTTTTCTAGAAAAGATAATATTGTTTTCAGAAAGTCAATGTACATAGCCCAACTTCTTCATTTTAAATTTACTGCATTGAGGCCCTATCAACTAGACCAGTGTTCCTCATGCCCCCTACCCCTATGGAATTCTAGCCTCAGCATATGTAGGGTAATACGGCTGAATTATATGGTAGCGGATCCACAATTATTTTTAATGCATGTTTGGCAAACGCCCCAAAAAAGAGGGCAGGGTGATGATGATCCCATAAGAGACAAGCAAATTTCAATTTTTTTCAACCATCAAGTTCTGAAGCCTCCCAGTGTAATGGAAAAGACAGCATGGTTTCTTCCCCCTACATGTTAACAGAATGATTTTCCCAGATACTATTATTTAAAATTTATTATAACTACCCACCCTAGGCAGCTTACAAATACAAAAAACATTAAAAAGGTTAAAAACACAACACCATCCTGGTGGCCTGGACTAAACCCCTGCAATAACAAGCCAGTCCAGGTTCCATACAAATACATCAGTCTCAGTCTTGAAACCAAAGCCAGATCTTAAGAGCTTGTTTGAAACTCCAGAAGAAAGGTCACTGTCTATCCCTGTGGTGGGATCTTGTCCAGAGGACAGTGACAGAGAAGACATGCTTCCTTGGTCCTGTAAGATGACAATATTTAATAGAGGGAACCTGGAGCACACCCATTCTGCTGGAACATACCTGGCCAATAGAAAAAACTGCAGATAGGCAGTCTCTCAGATAAGCAGGCACTATGCCATGAAAGTAATGATGGACAACTTACACTGAACCCAACTGGTCATCAATGCAGTTCGCATAGCAATAATCACACATATCAAGAAGCACTTGTTACTTCTTGTGACATTACATTTTGTACTGGTTGTAGCTTCTGGATGCTCTTCAAAGGCATTCCCACATTCAGCACATTGCAACCATCCAATAATGAAGTGACCAGGACCTGAGTAACTATCTGAAGGGCCTCCTGGTCAAAGAAGGGGCATAACTGGTACACAAAATCAACCTTTGCAAAGGGCCTCCTACCCATAGATGCAATAGCTGCAAGTCCAGAAGGATACCCAAGCTATGCACCAGTCTGGAATGGGAAGTATAACCCCATCCAAGACCAATAATGGAAATGTCCCTGACCCGAGGGGATGGCGGGGGGGATGACATACAGGCACAGCCATTCAGTCTTGTTAGGACTGAGTTGAAGTATGTTCTGCCCCTTGCACCTGAACAGCTTCCAGACATTGGGTCAGCACATTGATACCTTCACCTAGACAGCCTAGTGTTGAAATATACAGTTGAATATCATCAGCATGCTAATGATTCTGAACAATTGATGATCTGGTTTCATGAAGATGTCAAAAACAGGAGAAAGAAGAGAGCTTTGAGCCTTGAATGAATGAATGCAAATGAATGACTTCTCTCTACCAAAGACAAAGATGCCATTTGTCTCAGATAATTCAAGGAATAATGAAACCAGATCTGACCAATAACATAATAAGGCACCCCGTATAGCCTAGAATCCTTGACATGCCATATACTTATCCGTGAATTATCCAAAAAGTGGCCTTGACTGGACTTGAAAAATCTACAAGTAACATCTCTCCAAATTTCAGTGTATTTCCATTGAAAGAGAATATTAGTTGAAGGCCTCCAAAACCATTAGACTCCTTAGATTCCTCATTTGTCTACTATTTTGTTATCTCTTTTACAGTTAGATGCTATAACAGATATATACAATTTGTATAATAAAGCTGCTTGCTCTCTTTTTCATAACCAGAGCAAGCTGCTTTGTCTACAAATTGTTATACAAATGAAACTAATTACGCTAGTTACGACTACTACATTTTACAATACTTCCAAATAGCTGTGCCATCATTTCAGGCACCGGAAGACTTTCTTTTCTTTGCCTCCATTATTCACACAAGCACAATGCTTTTCTTTAGCAGCAGCTTATCATTTATCAAACTCCTGATCTGACTCCTTGATGGAGGATGGAAGCTAATGAACCCTCTCAACTCAGTTTTTTGCACTTCTAGGGGCCATGTGAATTCTTATAATGCAGCTAGAACATATACCAATCATGAGTTCAGAGAGCATCCATCTCATATATTCTGAGCAGATATATTGGAGAGGAATACTTAGTAGTCCTGCAGGGATTATTGCATTCAGCTGTTTTCAAGTCTCTTTCTTTGCCTAATGTTTAAGGATTTGATGTCAGTATAATACGGTATTCTATGCAGAAATCATGCCCAATTCTCAGTTATTTTCCAAAAATACCTAGAAGAAACTGAACATTTTCAAACCATATTTACAATTTCCACAGCGCAGCCTTTCTTTTGTTTTGGGCGCAATAAATTCAGAAATCCAAACTACTTCTTTTCATTACTAAGCTGTAAAGGAGCCTTCTTGGCTTTACTTTTATATCCCTTAGCTTGCTGCTCCAATAATCCCACCGGCAGCATGACCAAATGGGGATTATAGCTCAAGAGAAGTGATGCCCATCTGCATCTATACATTGATGCACCTATTTATCAATTTATTAGAGCATTCCCTACCCTTAGGAATTCCCAACAGCATGGCTAATTCTGATACAGTAAATGCATTCCTCAGACGAGAGGACCACTCCACGTAGGAGCTTGTCTTGCAAGCATCTTCCCTTGGACAACAAGTCTTGCCATTTTCTTGGCAGTTTCTATCCATAATTATTAATTGGATTTGGACTGCTGTATTGGAATACCTGAAAACATTTATATAGTAAAAATGGAAGATAATGTTACCTCCAAGAAATTAAGGCAATCTGAACAGAGAGAGAAGAAAAATGCCTGTTAACTTTTCTCTCTTACACAGACCATCTTTCAAAACAGAAGTTTCATATTTTTGGGATGGACCACGTGTGATTCTCCAGATATTTGTTGAGCTGCAACTTTGACCATCCCCATAATTCATTTATAGTAGCTAGAGTGATGTAATGAAAGGGAACAAACCGTGATGTGGCTTGATTAGATATATGGGGTTCAAACTTATTTTGAGGCCTATGTTGCAAAGACAATCTAATAGAAAAGGGGAGACAGTTAACTATGAATACAGAAAACAAAACATTGAACTGAAAGGCTCTTCCAGATCCTCCTTAATTTGAGATTATACCACACATTTATAACTCAGAAGACATAATCTTGATGTTTGATGCATAATTATACACGTCGCTGGATGAACAAAGTACAGAGCCATCCAGAAAGAGAATGCAAAATCTCCCCTCCCATCTTCGGTTACTATAGCAAATGAGTCTTACAAGTGTGGGAAAAGTACAAATTTATACATTCTCCCAGTCTAGTATCACCTCTACAAAGAATTAAAAAAATGTCTATAACTGTTAGAGAAATTTATCTTAGAATTATAAATTTGGCTGATATATTACACTAACCCATAATGTGGTTTACTTCATTTACGCACACTCTGTTGTATTCAGCCACTGTAATTTGCAGGCCATGGTTTATTGCTCAGTGGCTTGTTATGGCTTGCTGCCACTTCCTCTGCCCTGAGTAGCTTGACAAGTGGCAGCCATAAATTGAATAACTAAATAAAAAAAAAAACCACAGAGATGATATGGAGTGGGGCATTTTCTAAACTATCATGGGAACCCCTAAACTTAATCAATCCCTTTAAAAGATTTATATAGCTTTATATAAAATGTTACAAAATGTTACATAAAGTATAACATTTATATATGATAAATGAAAACTGTCCAGCTCTAGCACCAACACACACCTCTCCATGGTGAAGCTGCCGGAAATGATCAGAAGTTCTGTTGGTTTGGCATCTTAAGTCCATCATGCTTACCTTGCACTCCAGAAGAAGAGAATCTTCGTTTATGTTTGATACATACCTGAACAAGCTTTTCCTACCTTACACACCCACCTCCCTCACCTTCTCCACTTAGGGATTCACCCCCTTCCCTCGGATGCCGCTGGTTCTTCCCTGAACCTACTCCGATATGCTCGTCCGACCCCCGCCTTCCCCCCCCACCCCCCAAAAATCCCGTCTCCATCTTTCTGCTCACCTTGTACACCTTGCCGAAGGCGCCGTCGCCCAGCTCTCCGACGATCTCCCACACGTCGTTGGGATCCAAGTCCCGGCGCACGTGCTCGTATTCTTTGGATCGCCGCTTCTCAAAGTTAGAGAGGCGCAAGATGCGCCGGAAATTAGCGAAGGCCATGGCAGCGCCCGGAGTTGAGCTTCGAGATTCTCACCATCGACGTGTCAAAGGAGAAACAAACGGGAAAAAAAAGAAAAAAAGAAAAGAAAAAGAAACGACTCCGGAGAAGGCGAACAACCGGGCAGGCTGGAAGGGGCTAATCTTTATCGAAGCCTAACTTCCGAGGAAAGCAGCCGAGCCAGTTCCGCCCCGGTCGGGGCTTTTTATACGGGACTTCGGCTGAAGAGAAAAGCCCAAAGGATGCTTCTCCCTGCCGGTTCCTCCGCCGAACGTGGGGGCGCCCCCCGCTCGCCGGGCTATCTCAGGGCGGAGGAAGTGGCTCCAATTGCAACCGGCCAGCGGGCGAAAAGGAGCGCTCCGGCGAGGTGGAGCGGCCAAAGAGCGACCCAGCCAGCTGAGTCCTTAAAAGACTTTCGGGAGAGGCGCTTCACCTGCTAAGTCGGACGGGGGCCAACACCTCCGGCCTCGCTGGGCCGGCCCCGCCCCTCTCCGCCGGGACACCTTCCAGTTCCCCGAGGCTCCGCCCCAGCACGCGTTCAGCTGAGTTGCTCCCTCGCGCGGGTCGCGTCAGAGCTGGGTTGAGCCCGCCCCGGGTCCTCCTGCGCGGCCCGCCTTTCCGCGACCCCCTACCACAGCCATGACCCGTCCCTCCTCCTCCTCCTCCTCCTCCTCTTCTTCTTCAAGAAAGGAGGGGGGCGGTTGGAGACTTTGCAGCCCCCGGCCTCGTTAAATTTGGCGGGACAAAACCGTAGTCAGATGAACGGGGACCGCCGAATACCTCTTCCACGTCCGAGTGGCTTTCCTTCCCAATAGAGCTGCTGAAGAATCCGGGGTGGGGGGAAGGATTTGAAGGTCCTAATTTTAAAGAGCCGTTGCTTTGCCCTTGGGAGAGGCGAAGGGAGTGTGGGGGGAAGGAAGGGAAATTAATCATGCTTTTGAATGAGATTTTTTTCTAAAAATTGTCAGGCTGAGTTGGGATAGTGATTGGGTGAGTAAGACACAATTTCCTGAATGGCTCAGAGAAAACAGTGGTTGTCTAGAATAGCCCAAGAGCTTTAAATAACAGTAGGTTGGAAATGCCTGTCAGTTAGTAAAACTATTGTAAAAAAAAAAAAAAAAAGAGTAGTAGGTGCTCTCCAGTTTTCCTACATTGGCCACACAAAACTGGAGCACAAGCTGGGTTTTGTATAACTTGCAAGTTATACAAACCCAGTTTGTGGTCCAATTTTCTGTGGCTAATGTAGGAAACTGGATCAAGCAAACCCGAGGAAGCTTCGGCATGATATTGACAAGTGGCAGGTTACACACAGTTCAGAATAGTTTTTAAGCAGACCTGGTTCATCCCTAAAGTTAAGTCATGATGTAGCTTGCTACCTATTTGTATTAATGCAATGTATGGCTACAGGTATCCTCAGCTTATGGCCACAATTGAGCCCAAAATTTCTGTCGCTAAGTGAGTCACTTAAGTGAATTTTATCCCACTTTGCGACCTTTCTTGCCACAGTTATTAAGTGAATCATTGCAGGTTTTAAGTTAATGACGTGGTTGTTAAGTGAATCTGGCTTCCTCATTGACTTTGCTTGTCAGAAGGTCACAAAAGAGGACCCTAGGATACTGCAACTGTCATAAGTATGAATCAGCTGCCAAGCTTCTGAATTTTGATCACATGACTCTGGGGATGCTGCAGAGGTTGTAAGTGTGAAACCTGGTCATAAATCACTTTTTTCAATGCTGTTGTAACTTTGGTCGTTAAACAAACTGTTGTACGATGAGGACTACACGTGCTTTATTGGAAGTGTGCTGCATTTTAAACTTTTCAAACTTGGAATAAAATTGTAACAAGAAGTGGGATAACTTCTTAATTGGCCAGTAATCCCATTATTGTGCTGACAAAACTGTAATAAGGATGGATTTATGTCCCCTTAATTGATAATTAGCAACATCTAGAATTTACAGCATCTTTTCTGCTCCTTTTTATTATAGTATATTGCTTTAAGTTTTGATACATTATATTGCTTCAATACAAGGATGTATAATATTAATATTTTTAATTTTGTTTAGTTATTGTAATTGTTTATTTCTCTAAATTAAGCAAAATAATAAAGCAAAAAAACACTTTCTGATTACTGATTACTACATTTTGTTATTACTTAATTGTGTGTGCATCTATGTATGTGTATGCTACTGTAGTTAATAAAAGGGCAAAATAAATAAGCAATACAGATTTAGCAAGAATTAAATACCAAAAATAAAAAGGGGAAAGAACAATTTAGGTTTTTTTCAAAAAAGTATTTGCTGATTTGCACTATTGCAGGCATTTAAATTCTCTTACAACTCTCACTGTAAATAATATGCTTGCATACCCTGCTGTATGATGTTATATACAGTATGGGAACCATTCTTAAATTTGGTTAAACTTCTATTATGTATATATACTATTGCTTTTGTCTTTGCTGCATATGTTCCAAGTTTTTAAGTTTCCAGTTAGATGCTGTCAGGAGCATCTTGATAGCATTATCCAGCCAATTATTGAGAGAAAGAGAGAGAAAACAATTGTTAGTTTGGCACAACGAAGGTTAGATGACACTGGAAGTTGCTCTGGATGGCTGGTATGGAAATGCTCCTAAGTGACCACTAGAAAAGAAATGTCCAGTGTCATCCAGTGCAGCAGAAAGGTTAAATACTCAAGGACTCTGTGTAGCCAGTTTTGGTTGCTGCTGAACTTCTCATCCAAAAAACCTTCCCTGACCCTACTATTGTTATATCTTTTGCTTCTTTTCATACCCAGTTTATAGTCACAATAAGATTAGATTGACTCATTTGGGCAAGCTCAGCCAAAGTGGTTTAGCTATTGTGTGAACCCAGGATTCTATGTTAATTTACTGTATCTAATCTATGGTATATGCTGTGAGAACATAATCTAAATCTTTGTTATTCCAATGTGTCAGTTTACAGTGCCCATTATGACATCAGGAACTAATACAGTGGTATTGTTGCTTCCATTGATTTAGCAGCTTTGAGAATAAGATTTATAAACTTAGTTGCAGAACATAGGACAGATTGTGTGAGTGGAGCGCAGCATGTAGTCAACCAGTATAAGATAAGATAGATACGATAACTTTGTCATTTTTTTAGTGCAAGCACACCAGCCCACCTTAAAAATGAATTTCTGTTGCCTGCTCTCAAGAGAAAGTGTATATCTATCCAAACGCATACATAAAACACATATACACATGCTACATACATACAAAAATATATACCTGCACCATACATATACTTTTAAAATAATGGGGCCAAAATGTAACCTCTTTATCTTGTCTGTTCTAAAAAAAATGATGAAGGTGGCCCTTGCAAGGCACTCATTTCATCCCTTAAAATTACCCCATCTTTCCCCTGACTCACTTTTAGTAAATAGACTCTGACATTGTGCAGAAAGCCAAGCCTTCAAATTAACTGCTGCATTATATTTCTTCTACAAATGGGCAAAGTTATGTCCAGATGTTTGGGCCTCAATTCCTATAAATCTATCCAGCATGGCTAGTAATTACATAAGGGAGGTTAGCAAAGTTATCTACATAGTAGATATATTCTAAGTACCTATATGATTTGGGAGGGTCCTGTACTTGGAGCAGACCATGTCTTCAACATGTCTTCAGAGTGCCAAAGCTCATAAGATCTTTGTGTTCTTTCTTGAATATTAACATCTTGTGAGCTTTGGCATTCTTATTCTGTGAGATGCCTGCCTTGTGGAAACTGCCCCCCCCCCCCCCCGGCAAAAAAAATCTGTTTTGTCTTTCTGCCTGAATTTGGCAAAATTTTGGAGAAGACAGTCAAATTTGTTTATCTCGCAAGATTTTTAGTATTTTAAAAAATATTTTTAATTTCATTTTTAATCTTGCATCCAAATTTATCCATTGAAATGTTTTAGTTATTTTTTTAAATAAGAAATGTTGACAAGTATAATCTAGTAGAGACATCTAGAGGAACTATGTGGAATTTCAGAGCTCGCTTACGTATGGTAGATGAAAAACAGGAAAATAACAATCTTGTAACATCCTAATGATCATTCTTATTGTACAATAGTATAGTAGAAAAATAGCAAAATTTAATAAGTAATCTGCAATCAGAAGATTTGTAATAGAATTTTATTCGTAAATTTCCTTACTTTTCAGCAATAAAAGTCTGAAAACTGGACATAATATACATATGAATGTTTGAGAAAGGGGAAGAGTAGCATTGTCTGGAATTCTTGCCAGCTGGGAAATACTGGGAATTAAAGTCCACACATCTTAAAGTTGTCAAATTTAAAAAATGCTGGTTTAGCAGAATGCAAATGGTAATTCCTTGTTACTTTCTCAAGATACTCTCGGCTCCCAATTTACCTGGCTATTTTTTTCTGGTTAGGAAGCCTACTTCCAAATAAATCCCATCCAATTTATCCTTAGAAGGCCCTATGATAATGAGACTTAGAAACCATTTGTTTATATAAAGATGATAGTATTGACAATTTGCATAAGGATGTCTTTGATCCTCTTGAAGAACTGTTTAAATGTTACATGAGGAAGGGAGTGTAACAGGCGCCAATAAAGTGTCTGCCATACCATTGCACTGGTGCCTACTGCTCTTGTAGGGAAACTAAAAGAATTAGATTGATGTTTAATCTAGCCGATAACTTCAAATAGATAATTAAACATAAGACAGAAATGTTTCTTATCCATCCTTGTTCTCTGGGTGCAAAACTTTTATAAACAGCACAAAAGTCTTTTTTGTCATCATGTTCTAATTCCAGGGTGGAATTCTGGGATTGTAGTGTTGACATCACCATGGTCAATTCCAGAATTCCAAATATAAACATAATTCTTCTATGGCAAAATGAGGCTGAAGCCAAAAAGCTTCTTTCATTTTCTGTGCTTAGATAAAATATATTGCTTATTATCTGTCAGAAATGCCAGAGCTCTGACATCTTATTTTCATCTACTTGATGTTCATAAGAAGAACACTTTGAATAGTAAGTACGATACAGAAGCTAAAGAAAAATCTATAAAAATGAAATATAGGATTATCATTACTGTAT